CACACACACACACACACACACACACACACACACACACACACACACACACACACACACACACACACACACACACAGCGTGACAGATCACATCATGGGATTGACTAGCTCTAATGGGCCCAGCAGGACATCAGAGGACGGGAGGAGGACTCGGGAGGAGGACTCGGGAGGAGGACTCGGGAGGAGGACTCGGGAGGAGGACTCGGGGTCCTGGTCGGTTACCTTGCATCATGACTGCAGATTTTCATCCCTCTGCTGCGCGGGAAGCCCCAGAGGAGGACCGGTGCAGCCGGTCAGAGGATGCCCGGGCCGGGCATGGCTCATCCGCACAGCTGTCCTCCTGAAGCTCGGCGCTGATCTCCTCCAGCCTCCTCCGCTCCAAGGCCGACAGCAGGGGGAGGTGGGCTGCAGGGAGGAGCCGAGGAGTCCGCGACAGGAGAACCCGAAGGAGTCCGAAGGCAGGAGGTCCTCAATGTGCAGACTGGGCCCCAGACGGCCGAGCGGAACCAGCAGCAACCATCTGTGTCAGGGAGGGGGCGCTGGGTGGTGCTGAGGAGGGGATCAAACGGAGAGGAGGAGGAGGCGTGGCTCTGATGTCACAGCTGATCTGAGCCAATCCCTGCCGACCTGGTCACGTGACAGCCTGACGTCCCTGCTGTCCTCAGATCAGCCTCTGAGGTCTGCAGACTCAAACATGTTTTATTTTATTTTATTTTATTTTATTTTATAAATCAACACTTTCAGCTCTTTCAGGAGATGACTTTTGCTTTTTGTAACTTAAACTTTTCAAAATGTTTAATTTAATATCTTAATGCATCAAATCTCATTCTTTCACAAATATTTTTTATTTTTGAAATTTAGCTGCTGCCTCTGTTTATGTCTTCTTGTGCTACTCTTAGCTAGCCTACTAGCTACTATGTTTAGCTTTTAATTAGATTTTTGTTACTTTTAGCTTCTGTTCAGCTCCTCTATTATTCTGTTGTTTTAGCAAATATTTTACTTCTTCTAGCTAACATTAAAGTTTATACTTATAGCTTATTTTAGCTCTTACCATTCATTTGCTACATTTAGTTTTAAGCTTGCCTTAGGGTGCTATAGCAGGACAATATTACCTAATCTTTTGCTATTTTTTTTTTTTGTTTTAGCTATCGTTTTGCTACATTTAGCTTCTAGCCAGCCTTTTGCTGCTTTTAGGTAGCAATATGCTCCTTTTAGCTAGCCTTTGGCTACTTTTAGCATTCAACTGTTGGCTTTGCTACATCTAGCTTCTGACTAGCCTTTGCCTTTTACCTATCAGTATGCTACATTTTGCTAAATTTAAGTAGTTTTAGAGTTAAGCTATCTTTTTGCTGCTTTTAGCTGGTCTTTTGCCACTTTTAGCATTTAGCTTTTTGCTACTTATATCTTTTACGTACAGTTTTGCTGCTTTTAGTCTTTATCTTTTTTCTACTTTTAGCTTTTAGCCTTCTGCTTTTTTAGCTGCTTTGCTCATAGCTTTTAGCTTGTGTTCTGGTTTGTTTTCTTTGAACAGTTCTTAAAGTAGTTTTAAAAGCAAATTAAGGTTTTAAAGTTTTTGAACATCAGTTTAGACAGAACTAATGAACCAAAACAAATACTGTAAAATATTTTACTTTTACCACAAAACTTTTATTTGGACAGGAGGAGCACAGAGAAAAACCTTTTCTCCCATCTGAGAGCAAATTTATCATGGACAGGTAAGATATTAACTGCTGATGAATATTTTTATTAAACTGCACTTCACAATGACCCTAATATTTAATTCACAGCAGCTGTTCTTTCATAAATGAGCCAACATTTTGTTTTGTTAGCTAAACAACCTAATCAGGAAACAGTAAGAAGAAGATTTGATTGAGCATAAACTGTTTTTATTTGTGGTTTTCTGTTGACTCTTAGTGATGTTTGGACAGATACCAGGCGAACAGTTGATGAGTTTAACTCAAGGCTGCAGAGGAAGAAGCAGAAAGTGTGGTGGAGCTCTGAGGACGAGCAGCAGAGCAGCAGAGCACACACTTGTCAGCTGAAATCATCCCAGCAGCTTGTCTGGGCTCAGGAGGAACACACAGGACGAGTGCAGCTCTGCAGCAGGGARGCTGCTGTTAGCGTTAGCCGTGGATGGATTCTTCGGCTGCTTTAAKAGCTGCATGGACGACATTTGGAGCAGATCGGGGGGTGTTGTTGTGGGAGGAGGCGTTTGGTGCCGTGAGGCCCAGGAGCATTCAGTAACGTGTCGTTGCTGAGAAGAGCAGAATAATCTGGAAGCAGAGAGAAAAACTAAACCTCGGTCTAACGAACAGATCCTGAAAGAGTGACGTTCCCGTCAGAGCAGGAGCTGCACACTCTGAGGCTTATTTGTGTTTTTGAGCATCCTGCTCTGACTCTTAATGAGCTTACCTAACAGGAGACCACGGGGCGTTCCTGTGTGTCTTCCTCTTACGTAAGAMTCCACCCAGGGGTCAGACGTCCTGCAGGCTGGGATTAGAGGACACGAGGAGCAGGACACGGCTGCTGTGAGTCAAGACTACATCAGGATCAAAACATAGACATTTTATTAAAGGGCCAATTTTATGTGTTTCTCAGGCATACATTTAAATACTATACCATAATAAAGTATCTATGTCACATTTAGCTGTTATTAAAATGCTGTTTTTACCTTTAAATAGAAAATAAACTTATCCTCATCACTTCCTCTTCTAAACACCTTGAAATTGGCCT